TAGGTTCCACGTATGTCTTGATTATATAAAATGAGTACGAATGCACAAAGTAGAGTCGTATACGTTGACATTGAAATTATCTTATGTCTATTATGTCAACGTATACGACTCTACTTTGTCATATATCATATGTAAAAGTGACTAAAAACGTAATTTATTTCCCCTACCCCCATCTTAATTAATCCAAAAAAGTGCTATAAAAAAAATTGCCCAACCTCTAAGAATGAGAATTTTTTTTCTGAGACACTATATGATATATTGATTCAGAAAAACCAAAAATATATTTTCCTTTACTTTTTTCCCCCGCTAATTTCCTACTGCACCCTGGCTAGTGTTCAACGAGGTCGCGATTCTCAGCTGAATATAATCCGTAATAACGAATTAGTAATTCGTTATTACGGAGTACTAATTCGTAATTACGAATTAATAATCCGTAATTACGAATTAACTAATTCGTTATTACGGATTAGTAATCCGTAATTACGAAATAGTAATTCGTTATTAGGGATTAATGAACATATACTTTATTGACACTAATGGGCTTTCGTAGCTTCACGCTAAACTGAGGATAATACATAAGCTCCAGCCCTATGAGCCCTATTGGCTCGGCAAGGATTTACTTTTTTTGTCATAACCAAAACTCAACTCTCTAAACATTATATTGAGATTTAGTTTGTGTGAGACATCATGTGGGTATGTTTGTCTTGTGAAAGGGATTGCACCTAAAATTCGTAATACGGAATCCTTAGCACATATGTGTGCCTATAAATCGACTGCAATTTAAATAATTTGTTTCTTAATGTTATAAGTATCCGTTTTCGGACTTATCGTAATTGCATAGTTACCAACCTGAGAGATTTGAAATGCGTGAGTGACTATACCAGTTGGCTAAGGGGGGGGGGAGGAGGGGGTCCAAGCGGCAGGGGAACCACCCCCACCCCGCTCCGACGATCTGAGCATTTTTAAGCTGTTTTAAAACGATTTCAGGGAGTGTTTGATGATAATACAGGTAAATAAGCCAATGTGAGTTTAAATGTAGGCCTATGTTTAATTTGAGCACCCGAACTTATTTAGACCTACACAAACATTTCATTACTGATCAATTTTTAGTAACTCGTTAGTGAAATAAGTAAGGCCTTCAAGGAAATACTGTGCTCTCTCATGACTCAAATTACTGCATCACCGTTTTTATAGTTTTAAATACAACCAATTTCTTCTAATTTCTAATACATTTTCCCCTAAATTTGTGATAAATCGTTATCACGCATAGACTTTTGTTAAATGCGTGACAAATTTAGGATCACACATGGTGATTCTGCAAAATGCGTGTTTCATCCAAAAGCACTTTGAAATGCGGGACCGTCCCGCACGATGCGACGGTTGGTAACTATGTAATTTGAGATTTCAGTTAGAAAAGCATTAATTGGGACTTGAGCTTTGTTTCATCGGAATATAGAGATAGGAATAGAAATAAAATTTATACAATCAGTAATTTGTTTTGACCAAACATGTCACTGTGCCTACTAGATATCGAGAAGTTGATGCACCTAATGTTTTAGATTTGGTTTTTATCGATAAAGAAAATACTAATATAATACTATTCAATTTTCCCCTTTAGGTAAGAATGACCATAGGCCAATCTTGTTTTCAATTTTCGATAGATATTTTAATAGAAGACAGGGTTGAACCTTATATTCAAAATATTATATATATATATATATATATATATATATGTCTCTTATACACATCTAGATGTGTATAAGAGACAGAGATGAAAGAGGATAGGGATGATAGACTATTTAAAGGATAAGAGGCCTTATGTTCAAATGAAGAGAAGAGCGGAGGACAGATGCCAGTGGAGGAGTTGGCAGCTAAGGACCTGCCTGACGGCAGAACACTTAAAGCGATTTACGAACTCCGATGTCACGTCGACGCAATCTCGCCATGACGTCATGAAAATTATAAATTAATTAAATCACCTTTATGTTGTGACATGGAAATGCTAACTGATGTTTTGCGCGCTTCCTATCTCCCTAGACGGTAGTATTTCCACTCACAATATATTATGATTTGCTACGTGAGAAGATTAGTTCACCAGTTTTGGATGCAGTCCTAAATACTAAAACTGGTCTTCAAACACGAATGTGTTTGAGCATTTATTAACAAATGCTATTGCTGATTGAATTTCCTTTGGGAAATATTTTGGAGTCAATCAACCCACTTTGGATAAAAATCGAAAAGCAAATCTCCAAAAATAAATATTGGAATAGTATGTCAAAGCTAAGCGAAAACGTAAAGTATGTACCTTGGTTAAATGGCCTAACTTTTTTCCAAATAAGAAATCAAAACGAACGAAATAAAATCCAACGAAAAATCCTTTTGGTGATATGTTACTTCTCAGATTAACATTCAGTCAGGTATACCTAATTTAATTGATAGCAATGGAAGACATATGTCTACCGTATAAAAATTAGGCTGATTTATAAAATACTTTTTTTTCAGTAGTATTTGTTGATGAGGAATTTTCTAATCTCCCGTCTGTTGATAACATGTCAGAGAAGTACATTGCACATCCTCTCCATATTATTTTCACTAGATTGTTTCAAGAAGGAAACTTTCCTAAGTTGGAAACAGGCCATTGTAGTACCGATATTTTTAATGGGAGCAATTTTTAGAACAGCATAATCTCCTCAGCAATGAACGACGGTTTCCGTAAAGGTCGTTCTTGTGCTCTGTAGTTACTTGATGTCTTGAAAAACTAGTTGTCTTATTTTGCTAAACATGATTGTTTTAGTTGAATTTACCTGGATGATAAAAAGGCCTGTGACAGCCTACCGCATCATAGACCTCTTCTTAAAGTGCTATTAGGGGCCGTTGTTTAAAGTTGTTGGATCTGTTACTTTTATTCTGGATTTGCTTTCTAATATTCATTCCTTTGTTTGTATGTCTGCGGATGACTCCAAATTGTATAGGGTAGTCAAGACTGAGACTGATGCTTAAAACTTGACATTGATAGAGCTTGTGATTGGTCCGATAATAGGCAGTTGCTATTCAAGGACAGCAAGTGCAAAGTAATGAATGCGATTTGAGAAAAAAAAAAGTATTTGTATTTAATGCGAGGACTAAATGCTGTCGAACATAAAAAAAAAAAAGATATTGGTCTCACTTTAAGGAACAGGAATGGTTTTCTTCGTCTGTCTAAGGCAATTATTAGTCCTTGTAATTGTATTGTAATGTAGTTTTTACTTCGCTACGTCGTAGAGAGGAAGACTTGCTTGAAAAAGTTCAGGGACGTGCAACACAACTTCCCTTCTAATCGTAACTTTCCTTCTGATAGTTTAAGGGTTTTAAACTTACCTAATCTTACGTACAGGGACAAAAAGCACATTTTGTCTGGATCTGTTCTTCATTAGAAAGTATAATACATACTCCAGGTATTGAAATACACGCCATCGTGTTGGGATTCAATATTTCGACATTAATTATGTCATCATCAGGA